CAAAAGAATAAATAAATATACACTTCTTCTTCTACTACTCTTCCTTCTTTCTTAATCACCAAAAATAAATAAAGACCTACTCTCTTGGTCTTGGGTTCAAGAAACAGGGCATTGGAAATGAGTCCCTTGACGTCACAACCATTCAATTTTAACCATACACATTTCTTTTGCGTTGCTTGTTCCAACTTAATAGCTTTAAGATTTTTACTTTTGAGAGCCATATTTTAGCCTGCTTTGACCTGAAATTGAGCTCACAATTTTTGCCCGGAAAAAAAGAAAACTAACAGAAAATAAATAAATAATCTTTTATAAGTTTTGACCATTTGAAATTTCTATTTCATTTGAAAGTTCTATAGTTTAAGAACGACATTTTAATGCTACAGTATGATCTGACTTGGTTGATATAACTGCCGTCACCCACCATGCTTCTTTCCCAACCACCATGGATAGGGGAAGAGATAACTTAAAAAGTGAGGCACAAGAAACTAATAGGGAAAAAATTGACTATCCATGCATCTTTGGCTAGAGTAATCCTTTTTAAAACAACAAAAAGTTCAGGCATTCAAGCTACTTCAACGGTAGCTTCGGTAGTTAGGGTTGTACATGCAGCTCTCAGCATGTTTCACGAGATCCTTAGGTTGAGGGAGGGAAGTAGCCAAACCTGCATGCCAAACAAGTGTGTAAGTGTAATTGTATTGATAATAATGGATAAGAGTGTTGGGTGCAGATTTCAGATTAACAGTCAGAATGGTGCTTACCGAGTTCATATGCTTTAGCAGCTACTCTGGCAGCAATTTGTGCCGAAATCTTTCTAATGTTCTTGAATGGTGGGTATATGAGTCCCTTGTCAAAGTTCTCCTGGGTTACTTGTTCAGCCAGAGCTTCAGCTGTTTCAGAAGAGCAAAGCAAAGGTGTGATGACTTGAAAAAAAAAAAAAGAAAAATCATGCAGACAATCTAAAGTAACTTTTGTTCCTATCTTTTTGCACATACAGGCTGCAAGAAGCATGTCATCGTGAACACGGATTGTACCAGACATTATTAAACCCAGACCAAATCCAGGGAAGATGTAAGCATTATTTGCCTGAAGACAGAAAAATAACACCAAAATTAGTCCTGAAAGAAGGGTAAAGCTAAGGATACATGCTTCACTGTGTTCTGGAAGGTACCTGTCCAGGCACAAAGACCTTGCCATTATATGTGACAGGGTCAAATGGACTCCCACTAGCAAAAATAGCTCGTCCCTGCAAGAACAGGGGCAAATGTGATTACTCGATTGTAAAATATAAACTTGAAAGCATGACAGCTAAGCAGTAAGATGAAGAAAAAGGCGAGCTTCTTGTCAAGGTCAAGTAATGATATATGTTATTGATGACTAGATAACTGAGATGGAATAAGTTACAAGTTCTGCATTACCTTACTCCATGTATAAGCCTCTTCAGCAGTACATTCAGACTGTGAAGTTGGATTAGAAAGAGAAAAAATGATGGGTTTCTGAAAACAGACACAAAAGGAAGGGAGGGGTCAGTTTAGCTTTTCAAGGTGCAAAGAAACATATTATCCAATCTATAAGTACATATCATAGCCAAAAAGGATACCTCATTCAAGGCAGCCATGGCCCCAACTACTTGTTTTGTAAAGGTTCTACCTACTCCTGATGTTCCAATCAACACAGTAGGCTTGATTCCCTGCCAAGATATACAGAGAATAATTAAGAGTCCATTAAAGTATTACTTTTCATTTTTTTTCCTTGTGTGGAGATGGGTTGGGGGAGAGACAGGGTAAATTTTCTCACATAAACAGCATCCACAAGTTCCTTGATAGGCTTATGATCATGTGCCCAGGGCTTCTTGAAATGTTGAAGTGAATCCTCACGGGATTTCACAATTAAGCCCTGCAGAAGTGTTTAGTGCAACCTTAAATGAATTCAAAGAAAACAAGGGAATTTAGGAGTATTTTGCTCTTGCTTCATCACAATAACCTAGACCAGATCTCCACTACCTTAGAATCCACAAGCCAAATCTTTTTGCGAGCCTCTTCTAGTGGCATATTTGTCTGCATAAACTTTTAAGTATCATTTCCAATTTGCAGTAAAACTAAATTTACATCTAAAACTTCCTGAAAATGTGTCAAGGAGGAGAGGCCATGACCATTTTTAGTAATAACAGATTATAACCTGTTTTGATATTTCAAGGGCTATGAGTTCTGCAATTCCAGTTCCGGCCTGTAAAACACCAAACATACAGTGAGGCATTGCAATAAATGAAACTGAGAATGAAGCAGGAAAAAGTTGGCAGGAGGAACTCAAATGGAAAATACAAGAGCAGCATATGTTCCCAAACATGATACTCTTATTTGTGGAGAATGAATTGACGTGATACATTTCCCCGTTAGTTGTTTGAGGAGGACAGAAATGACAAGGGTGAAAATAGAATTACATTAGAATAAAGAGAATTTTTAGTAGGTTTAGTTCATGAACACAAATTTACCTCTCCAGCACCAAGAAACAAGAATCTGTGGTCAGCTAATGTTCCTCCAACTAGTTTCAGGGCAGCAACAAGCCCTGCAAGGACAACAGAAGCCGTACCCTGGAATAAAAGAATTTGACCCAAAAATTAGAGATGTTTGAAGCTCAATTATTTTTATTTTAAGCTCATTTAAGTCAAACAACTAACCTGAATATCATCATTGAAGACAAGGTGAGTGGGTCCATATTTCTCAAGCAAATCAAAAGCATTGTGGTTTGCAAAGTCTTCAAACTGCAAAAAGATATAAGCAGATTTCAATACATTGTGCTTATGTATAAACATGACATAAATTTTGCATTCCAGACAAAAATTAAAAATTCTCTCTGCAAAGTCCAACCACCTGAATAAGAACTTTCTCCCCATAGTTCCGCTTGACAGCAGTCATGAATTCATGTAGAAGTTCAGCATATTCCTAGAGCAAGGAAGCATACACACATAAGTTTGAACTGTGACAAAAATTCAATTGAATCTGTAGTAAACTCCAAGCAAGTTTCTACTCTTATGGTGCCTACCTGACCTGTGGCTCTCCTTTGCCTAAGCCCTATGTAGAATTCATCATTCAACAACTGCTCATTGTTTGTGCCCACATCTATGGTAACAGGCAAGCACTGCAAATATGGCACGATGATGTTATTAAGAAATATGGTATGATAGATGCAAAAGAAGAACCAATATAAAGGATAACTCAATTTGCATCATATGTTCAGCATAATAGGGAAAAATATAGTCAAACAAAGAGACAAATAACCAAACATTTGAGTACATATGATGCTTTTTATTCAGTTTCAAGCAGCTATAGCACTCATTAAATGGATACTTACAGCTGAAGGACGGACTCCTCCTAATGCTGTATACAGTGAGAGTTTCCCTATAGGTATTCCCATCCCCTGAGAACATAAAGTTTTTGTAGCTAAATCAATTATATATGTGAGAGAAACAGGTGTAGCAATTAGCAAACTAAGTATCCACTTGCAAATTCCAATAGTTATACCTGACAACCAAGGTCCCCAAGACCCAAAATCCTCTCCCCGTCAGTTACGACAATAACTTGAATATTCTTTTCAGGCCAATTTCTTAAAACTTCATGAATCTTCCCCCTACATGTGGTACTTATCAGTTTATACAACACAGTAAAGAAGCACAAATTTAATAATTTTAAGAAAATATCAGTCTGCCTAACATACTTTTCTTTCAAACTGATGAAAAGACCCCGCGGACGCAGGAAGATGCTCCCATATTTCTGGCAAGCTTCACCAACAGTTGGAGTGTAGACAACAGGGAGTAACTCCTCAACATTGTCAATGAGAAGTTTGTAGAACAGCCTTTCATTTGTCTCCTGAAAACAAAAGAATAACCAATATGAATTGTTAAAACTCTCCAATCAAAATATGTAAAGGTACTTCGAACTTTTGCAATCCAAGCAATAACTATAGAAGCTAATAACACAAAGGAAAATTACAAGTGGAAGTCTAAAATTAAATATGGAAGATCAGAGTCACATTAGCATATTAAATTGTGAAATCCCAGATTTGATGAAAACTTGCAAGAATGTAACAAAGATTCCTCAAATAAAAGAAAACATAAACAGGAAAGAAAATGATAGTACAAAGCAGTACCTGAAAATCCATCATGGCCATGTACTTCTGCAAAGGAACTTGATATTGCCGAAGCATGTGCATTAGTTTCTTCACCTGATGAATTGTGGAAAAAAGGTTTCCTAAGTAGCACATAAGTTTGCGAAACCAACAAAGAATTCAGGGGCCAAACAGAATTGAAGGTGAAAGGGCCTGAAAGTTTGCTAGTTACCTGAAGTTCTTGAGGGGTAACTTGTGGAGGAAGAAGACCACACAAGTAGTGCGCATCTCTTTCTTTCTCAGTGAAGGCAAGCCCTTTGTTGTGGTGTGGATCTCGCAACAAAGAATACCCACTGCAGCACAACAAGCAAACAATTTTACTTCGAAGCTTACTACAAAACAAATACTTGATCCCATTATGAGAACCTACAACATTTGCATGGATCACTGACTCTATCTAGAACAATAACAATAACAACAACAACAACAACAACAACAATAATAATAATAATGGCAAAAAAAAAAAAACTCATAATTGCAAAATAAAACCGAAAAACCAGACCCCGAAAAAAAAAAAGGCACTATTATCCTGAAGCAGAGAATCCTGAAAAAAACATCTAAAAAAAGGGAAAGAAATGGGCAAAAACAACAATATCATCAAGGCAAGGATTTTATTAACAAAATAGAAACCCAGAATCTAACCTAGCGACGGAGACGGTCCAAGGGGTGACAAGGTGTTCCTCGGTGACGTCGAGGACCTCACCAGAGACGGTGGGTTTCGAGTCAGCCTGCAGGACAGAGGCAGCATTTTCCCTGGATTCCTTCAATGTGGTCCCTGTCATGACGCTGCCATTGTCTCTGTCAGGGCTCGAAGCTATCACTCTAACTAACGTTGGGGGCTGTCTCCCCTGCTTGTAAGTAACGGGACTGCGCGACCCAGAAACGCCAACATTGTTCTGTTTCAAAATCCATAAAAAAGAAAAATCATTGAATTCTTTCTTTGTTAATTTCAGCTGAAAGGGTCCAAAAAAAATTACCTATATAGAAAATCGATACGATCAATATTAATTTCGATAATTTTGACATAGCTAAACAAAAAAGATCCAGAAATTTTCAATGAATTAAGATAAAGATATGAAGAAACCATACAAATTTCCTGTTTAAAAGGGTAAAAGAGGTAGAAACGAAAACAGTATGATAAAAAAAAAAAAAAAGAGGAAAATTTGAAAGAGCCCCCCAGATGGGGAAGCCTATTTAATTAGCAAAATCCATAAGAAATGCTGCATTCTAGATAGAAAATCCAGCTTTTCTGAAGGTTAAACAGGTAGATAACAAACATAAACAAAAGAGGCTAATGAACTAAATTCTTTCGATTTTCATTATCAGAGAGAATAACCCAGAAACAGAAGCTGGTAAAGTTTGTGGCTTTCCCATCAAATTGGTGATTTTGTGCTTGGAATTGTTAAAAGACAAATGGGGTAGGTCTACAATACCAGAAAACTGCATCTGCTCAACGAGATCATGGCGGGAGAAGCGTGCAGATGCAGAGAGTCTTCCTTGTTCTGATTCTTTGCAACCTTCTCTCACACGAAAGAGGAAGGCGAGTGAGGAGAGAAGAAAGAGAGCCTCTTTGGAGAGTTATATATAAGACAAGCAATGCTCTCTTTCTCTCACTAGCCGATTCCGTG